AGAATGGTCTAGCCAATGAACGTCAATATCCACTAAAATGAACAAGCATGACTACCTGATATCATTTGTTTCCTAATAGATATACACAATACCACCTAGGAGCCGTTAAACCGCATTGTGTCCTTTTGGCTAAAAACAGTACGAGCAGCCTAGGGGTAGCCATCACTCAGCATCAACAAGTGGTCAATCTTGTTTCATCAACTGAAAACCTCCCCCACTCCCAGTTATTTCCAAGAGTACTCAGCATGCTGTAAAACTTCATCAGAAAACAGTTTGGAACATATAATTCAGAGAAAAGGACTCTTTTTTAAAAAATGTAACCATAGTGCTATTACCACACCCGGAAAAAATCCACACTAATTCCTTACTGTAATTTAAGAGTCAATCAGTGACCAAATGACCTTGATTGTTTCACAAGTGCTTTTGTCAAAGTCAGTTTCTTAGAACCAAGATACTAAAAGGTCCACACACTGGATTTGGTTGTTTGCCTCCAAGGCCTCTTGTATGGATGGAGTTATGTACTTCTCTTCCACCTATAAAATAGTGTACTGAATATATTAGTAAAACTGGCAAAAGTTAATGACAAATAGAAAATATTAAGGGCAGTGATGGGAGAAAATATCCTACAAAGGAACCCCTTTCAGGTTTTCAGCAGATTTCTCAGCAGAAACCTTACAGGCTAGGAGAGAGTGGAATGATATATTCAAAATGTTGAAAGACAAAAACTTTCAGCCAAGAATACTCTATCCAGGGAAACTATCCTTCAGATATGATGGAGAAATAAAATCTTTCCCAGATAAGCAAAAGCTGAGGGAGTTCATCACCACAAGATGAAGGAGGAAGTTTGGTGGAAAGGAAAGTAGTCCAGGAAAGAAAGGGAATCCCGAGACAACAGGAAGAGATACTGGAAAAAAGTGAAGGTGGCCAACTGTCTCCATGTTTTCTCAGCTACAGCTAGCTGAGGGATTAGGCATCAGGTGTAAGAGTTAAAATGGCGATAAAGTATCAGAGTGAAGTGGGTGGAACATATTTGCATGTGAGAAGAAGTTTCTAAAGGAAGCATCAAGTTGAGTGACTGAGAAGGAGATGGAAAAAACTAGAGCCATCTCTGCAAAAAAGCACACACAACTATGTCACCATTTTCTTTAAATCTCTCTAATGATGTCCTTATTCTCTTCACTCATTCATTCGTTCACTCATTCAACCACTACCCAGTAAACATCCGCAATGCCCCCGGTATTGATCTAGATACAGGAGATCTGGTAATGAACAAAATTCCACATCCTTTTGTAGCTCATGTTCTAACTGGGGAGACAGACAATAAGCAAGATATCTAAGTAAATTATGTGATATAGTAGAAAGTGATAAATGGTATGGAATAAAAAAAAGCCAGAAGGGAATACAAATTGTCAGGCAGGGGTTACATTCTGGGTGCGGGAGTTAGAGAAGGCCTCGCTGAGTGAAGACAATGGAGAAAGTGGGCCCTCCGTATGCTGTATTGGGTGGAAGGTGGGCTGACCACCAAGGAGAGGAAGCACCTGCTTGGCATATTTGAGGACTAGCAAGAGGAGGGCAGTGTGGCTGCAGTGTAGGGAACTAGGGGTGTGGGTCACCTATGAGGCCAGAGGGGTAGCAGGGTCAGATAATGAACTCAGAGGTCAGAGGAAGATTTGGGCTTTCACTTTTAATTTGGAGTTTGTTTGTTTCTTTGTTTTCCTGTGCTTATAAGGAGGATTATATTGACAATATTGGGAGCAATGGGTCAATATCAGACCTGGGCTTTCCTGGGGAAATGACCTTGCAACTCTCTTCAGGTTTGTGAGATGAAAACGCCGTGCATGTATTATTTTCTGTCCCTTTAAGCCAAGTAAAAGTCACACTGGACAAAGGCCTATGTATCATGCGACTCTGATTGCCAATGTAAGTCTGTGACCACTGCTGGTGGCTTAGACGTATGTTTATTATGTCAATTCTAAGTTTTCATTTTTCGTTTGAACACTCGTAAACATTAGCAACTGCACATCCATTTCTGTATCCTTAGTCCCTCGCTGGAATCCCATCTGAGTATTTCTAATCATTTCATTGCACTGCATTTCAAAACCCTCAGCTTCATCCTCAGTCGTATTTGCCTCCAGGTTCCTGATTGTAGTTAACACCCACCATTCACCCAATCACACACGTGCCTCTCTTAGTTCAGACCTTCATCCCTTTCTGGGGGCCACTGCACAACCACACCCTAGGTTGTTCATCTGTTCTTCTCACTGCACCCTCTTCACTGCCTCCAAGGTCAGTTCCCCTGGGATCATGAGGCTAGCTTGCTGCTGGGTAGAGGATAGAGGAGGCAGTAAGGCAGAAGCAGAACACTTATTGCAATAAGCCAGGTGAGAGATGAGAGTGGCTGGGCCATGGAGGTGATAAGGGGTTAAGTTCTGAATCAGGTAAGATGGGAGCCAACTAGATTTGGTGACACATTGGATATGGGATATGAGAGCAAGAGGTGAGTCAAGGATGACACCGTCTCCTGGCACAAAGCCCCAGATCCACAGCGTGGCTCCTAAAGCCTAATGCACTCTGACATCCACTCTCCTCCTGACTCCCTGAGTCCCAGGCACAATGGCCTTTCATTCCTCAAGTGCCACATGACCCTTCTCCCTGACATTCCTTGGCACAAGGTGACCTTTTGCTGTGAATTTCTTCTATGCTGCCACGCTCCTTCATTTGACCTACTCGCCTTCAGAGGAAATTTTAATGTCCTGGCAAAACCACAGTCAAGTAACACAGGATTATCAAATGTCTAACTCCCCACACTACAAGGTGACTTCAGGAGTGCAGAGTAGATCTGTACCCTTCTCTGCCATGCTGCAGTGCCCACACATGTTATGCATCATACTCACTCAGTGAGCGTTTGTGAGTGGATGAAGGAACAGAGATGGAAGAGTCATTGAGGCAGAGGGAAATTGAGGAGGGGTCTCCAAGCCCTTCCCTGTCCTGTGTCCCTCTCCCCATAGGCTGGGCTGACTCCCTGTCTATGGTCTTCATGAGTGCTCCCAACTTGGCTTATCCAATCTGAGGAATTTTTTTTCATTGAGAGAAGTTAGACACCATATTAACTTATCCTATCACTTCCAAACCTAAGTACCATGCTTTGCCTGTGTATTTCTAATATTCAGGACTGCAGTGGGAGTACTTTATGTGACTATAATGGAAAGAACAGGTAGGCTGTAGTAACCATCCCAAAGATATAAGGGGTAAAAAGCACAGATGGAATCACAGTTTGTAATAAAGGGCAACTAGATAGGCCTTACTTCCCCCACCTACCCTATAGCTAATAATCCTATAGTCTACCTCCAATTTTACCCAGATCTTCAAGCACAGGGAGCTTCCCCAGCAACATCTGCTTTTCAAGAGTAACCCACTAACAAAAATAAATCTGAGTAGTCAGGTCCTGGGTCTTCCTGTTGTTGTATGGAATATTGTCAGCTAGAAGATAATGGAAGGATGGCCTCCATATGCAAATGGAGATATTTACTCCAAATGACAGTATAGAATACTCTACTCATCATCAGTAAGACTGCAGTCCTGAAGGAGATTGGAGTAGGGTCTAAGGACAACCTTAGTTCGGCCAATTGAAGTGACCCTAAACCCTGTGTAACAGGGAATTCCCTCTCTTAGGGCTTTGAGAAGAGGGGCTGATGGTGCTCCAGTTGGAATGGAGTTTCTTTGATGGACAGAATAGGAAATGGAGCCCCAGACAGTAGGGCCCTGCTGGTCTGCCCCTTTTCTAAAACAAATTATCATCCATTTATTCCTTCAAAACCAGCTCCCCCAAGCCTTCTGAGCCATGAGAAATAGGGCATGGAACGTGGCATGGAATGGGTTAGGATGGGCTGGATATCAACCATTGCTTCATTGCTTCATTGTGTGCCTTTGTTTCAGAATTTAGTCTTCTATTACACAAACTTGATCACTTTTCATTTCTGCTACACATATTCCAAGGAGCAAAGGGCAAATTTAGGGAAATTACGCACAGCAGTTACAAGGAAAATGGCATTTTTATTATAACTTTCATTTTTCACCTAAGATGACATCTTTGAGATCTCTATATGCAAGCATTAAATGGCTATATACTATTTATTGTATGGATGTGCCATTCTTATTTTATCACTCCTCTATTGACAAAGAAGTTACTACCATTACTTTGACAATACAAATAATAGTGCAATAAGCATTTTAGTTCAATCATTTTTTTTTTTTTTACTGAAGAAGATTCACTCTGCACTAACAACCATGGCCAATCGTCCTCTTTTTTTTTTTTTTTTTTGCTTGAGGAAGATTAGCCCTGAGCTAACATCTGTGCCAATCTTCCTCTACTTTGTATGTGGGACGTCGCCAAAGCACAGCTGGTGAGTGATGTAGATCCACGCGCCGGATCTTAAACTGTGAACCGGGCTGCTGAAGCAGAGTGTGCAGAGCTTTAACCACTTGGCCATGGGGCCGGACCCTCAACCATCTTTAAAAAAATGTATAAAGTACTGAGAATTGACATTGTTAAGTTCTAGAGTACATGTATTTAAAATCTTAACCTGTACAAAGTACCCTTTAAAAAGAGGATATCTCTTTATACTCCCATCAGCAGTATATTAAAATATCTGTTTCTCCACATCCTTTATAACCTCTAATATTATTAAAAGTTAAATAATTCTTTTCACTCTGTTGAGTGAAAAATAGTCACTTGTTTCTATGCTAGGAATATCCTTGATCACTGTAATTGAGCAATTTTTCATTTATTCATCATTTTTTCCCTTCTGTAAACTTTAATAATTTTGTTGGGTTACAAGTTCATTCTTATCTATGTATATGTGCTCTTTTTCTCTATGGGACATTTCACCTTATGTATTCTTTCCTTCATTGATTCCCTTCCCTCTTTCTGGAATGCCTACTGTTTAAACCCTAGTTATCCTAGGGTTGTCTTCCAATCTATTATCTTTCACCTGTAATTTCCACAACTTTCTCTTTTTGCATTATACTTTTCACATATATTTTTAGATCACCAATTTCTCCTTCAGTAGTACCCTTCCGTTTTTCACTTTTTTTGGATTTGCAAGTTCAGATATTAGATTTTTATTTTTAAATTTTCCTATTTTTGCAAATAATCTTTCTCTTCCTCACAGTATGACTTTCTCATGTGATCCAGTTCTCATTTTATTGACCAAAGTGTGTCTTCTGAAATTTCATTAAGAATAGACACAAATTAACTTAAAAAAATTCTCTGCATTTTCTCCATTGAAATGGCACCTATTCCAGTTCAGTTTAGTCTCTCCTACTTTTTTAAAGTGCTGATTCCCCTACACGTATAGTAAGTTTGTACTGGCTGCTAAACCCTACTTTCCCAAGCAGACCAGCTAGGGAGGTCTTCTTGTGGGGTAGGTAAGCGAGTGCTGATGGGAAAGGATGAGCGTGTTCCAGGGACAGAACCCACCTGTTGTTATCTTAGAATTTTGTGTCGAATGTCTCTACTCAAAAGAAGTTTCAGGGATATCTTAATAGATTTGTGGCGAGGAAATAGTGGAATTCACATAAACTTTCTATGAAATATTTAGAAGTGGTGATTATTTTTAGTCTCAAGTTAATTATTAGTAAACTGTTTGTAACTCAGTTTACAAAATTTTGAGCCCATCATTCTCTGTACATCTTTCTTTAGCTCTCATGAGCTAAGAATCCTTTCTGTTCATCACACAGAAAAATACACATTGTTTCCTCTTTTTTGTATCTATATGACATGATGGATGCTAAATAAACTCATTGTGGCAACCATTTCACTATCTATGTAAAATGAACCATTATGCTGCACACCTTAAACTTAAACAGTGCTGTATGTCCATTTTATCTCAATAAAACTGCAAAAAAGAGAATCCTTTCTGATGTCAATTATGTCTCAATAAAACCAGAAAAAAAAATTAAAGAGGATGCTATGAACCAAAAAAAAAAAAAAGTACCTTCTGATATTGTTACGTATGGGCATCTGGGTTAAAATCAAGATTCCAGAGCTCAGAGTAATAAAACTAGCTATATAGACCTCTTTCTAGAATGCTACCTTTACAGTCTTCTTTCTGAATAAATCTGTTACATACTTAGTTCACACATGGCACACTCACACGAGGCTGACACCCAGGGATAGTGAAGGTATGATGAAGCTAATACGTACAAAACCAGAAGCATTGCCAATTTATGTAACCTCTTTGTGAAGCAATTTTTAAATATGTATGTAAGAGATAAAATACTTGTACTGATTGACTCAGTTATTTTGATTCTCAGAAATTACTCTTCAATGAGTATAAAGTTCTAGTTATGTAAGACAGAAATGTTACTGGCACATGGGATTCTTGTTGTCCCCCAGGATAGAAATCAAGAGAGACAACGAACGGGAGTAGAAAAGCAAAAGTTTATTAGCTTGCGCCAAAGGGAGGCCCAAGGGAGCTGTGGGGAAAGGAAAGGGGCAGATGACCAGCTCATTGAGAAGCGGGATTTTAGGGCTTTTTATTAAGCAAAGCCTGGGCAGGAGCCTTGTCATGATATATAGAGGTGGGTTTTTTCTTGCATTTGCTCTGTCATTCGACATGCCACCACATGCGTTACATGTATCATTAGCGTGCCAGCTCTCCAGTCTTGGGTGTAATTTTTACAACGGTAATGGGCTAGGGTCACCTTCAGACAACTGCTGGGTGCTAGGGTGCGTGCATAAGCCCAGGAAACTCCTGAGGTTGCGGAGGATTTTGGATCTTGATGGTCTCTATATGATTCTCAAAGCTTGCAGATTGGTTAGGATCCTTATCTTGTTAGACCAGGGGCCTTGTAGAGGACCTTATTTTCTTAGGCTGGTTTCTGTCTCAAACAGGTTCTAGAGATCTGCTGTATAACATTGTGCCTATAGTTAACAATACTGTAATATGCGTTTAAGAATTTTTCAGGGGAAATTTCAAGTTAAGTATTCTTACATTTTTTAAATTACAAATAAAAAGATAAGAACAAAATTATCCTCAGTATATAAAAATTAAAAATAGAATTCAACTAGGGGGCTGGCCTGGTGATGTAGTGGTTAAGTTCACGTGCTCCCCTTCGGTGGCCCGGGGTTCGGGGGTTCGGATCTCCGGCGCGGCCTGAAGCACCACTCATCAAGCCCTGCTGTGGTGGCGTCCCATATACAAAATAGAGGAAGATGGGCACAGATGTTAGCTCAAAGCTAGCCTTCCTCAGCAAAAAAGAGGAAGATTGACAGAGGTTAGCTCAGGGTCAATCTTCCTCACAAAAAAAAAGAGGAAAATTAAATTAAAAATTAAAAGTAAAATTATCCTCAGGAAATAAAAATATTTTCAGAAACTTTTTGAAAAAACCGAAATGTTCAAACTGAAGCAATACCTTAGCAAACTATGGTATATCTACTTAGAAGGATGTTCCACATCCCTTAAGTTAATAAACATAAAAGAAAATAAAAATCATAAAAATGCATAATATAAAAATTTCAAGGTAATTTTCTGTCTTGGAAATTACAGGACAAAATTTTCATATATTTGATATAAAATTAATTGTGAAAAATATGTCCAAAAGAAAAAAGATTTTAGGTGCCAATATTAAGATTTTTAAAGATTAAATAATCTTTAAAAATACACTGTGAAGTTGTCATATTACTCTTAAATTTTAAATATACATTTAAAAAATTGATATTCCTAAGGATAAGTATATATGCTTATATAAACAGAGACAAACTTCGATCCTAGGCAAAGACATTCTATAGCAGATTTAAGTTGGAACATCCTGGGCACTAAGATTATAAGACATTAATGCATGTTACCCAGAGAGACTTTGGAACCTCCTTTAGGATTCATAAGAAAAGGTAAAAACTGATTTTTTTCTACAACTCTATGGTAATTTTTGCAGTTCTGCTTGAAGACAAGGGAACGAGCATGATGGCCTCTCATGGTCAGTTCTGAGCCAGCAACTCTACTACTTATACCTGTGTTGTTGTTTTCACAGAAGCCTGCTTAGCGCAGGACCCTGAGCGATGATGAGGCTTTATGGACACCAGTTGTACCCCTGGTGGGAAGAGATCCTTTAGCCAGCAGGTTGTTTCGGGTCATTACAGAGCCAGTCATAACACACCTGACTGCCTCACTTTCTGCTCTCCATGCCAACCATCCACACACAGTGTCCTCCCCTCCCAATGCACCCCTAGAAGCCTCCATGAGCTTTGATCTCTCTGACTTATCCATTCTCCAGAGCTTCCCTGTCGTCAGGAAGTTTACTTCCTCCTCAATGCCAAGGTCTGCTGGAGCAGGGAGGAGGCGGGGGGCAGGATCAGTCAATCATAACCCCATTTGGCCTCCTATGACTTTAATAATGGCCTCACCCCATCATTTCTTCCTGTCCACACATTTGGTGGTCACTATAGACCTGTAGGCTTGGCCTGCTTTGACCCAGCTTACTCTTCTCTCTTTGTTCATAGTACATGACCTCACTGGACCCAAGGAATCTCTTAGAAATCAGAACAAAAATTAAAATTAGTATGCCCAATCACTGCTTTTGCCCTCCTCCCTCCCCCTTTCGCCTCTCGTAACCACCAATCTAATCTCTGTGTCTATGAGTTTGTTTGTTGTTGTTGTTTTTATCTTCTACTAATGAGTGAAATCATATGGTATTTGACTTTCTCTGTCTGACTTATTTCACTTAGGACAATATCCTCAAGGTCCATCCATGTTGTCACAAATGGCAAATTCCATTGTGTACATATACCATGTCTTCTTTATCCATTCATTCGTTGATGGGAACATAGGTTGTTTCCAAGTCTGGTCTATTGTGAATAATGCTGCAAGGAACATAGAGGTGCAAAAATCTTTATGCATTCATATCTTCTTATTCTTTGGATAAATACACAAAAGTGCAATACCTGGATCATATGGTAGTTCTATTCCTAGTTTTTTGAGGAATCTCCATACTGTTTTCCATAGTGGCTGTGCAAATTTACATTCCCCCCAGAAGTGTATGAGAGTTCACTTTGCTCCATATCCTATCCAACACTTGTTATTTCACTTCTTGTTAATTTTAGCCATTCTGACAGGTGTGAGGTGATATCTCACTATAGTTTTGATTTCCATTTCCCTACTATTTAGTGATATTGGACATCTTTTCATGCACCTATCGGCCATCTGTATGTCTTCTTTGGACAAATGTCTGTTCAGATCCTTTCCCCATTTTTAATTGGGTTGTTTGCTTCTTTGTTGTTGAGTAGTATGAGTTCTTTATATATATTGAATATTTACCCTTTATCAGATATATGGTTTGCAAATATCTTCTCCCAATTGATGTTGTCTTTTGTCTTGTTGATGGATTCTTTTACTGTGCAGAAACTTTTTAGTTTGATGTAGTCCCATTTGTTTATTTTTTCTTTTGTTTCCCTTGTCTGAGTAGACATGGTATTCAAAAAGATTCTGGTAAGACCTATGTTGAAGAGCATGCTCTCTATGTTTTCTTCTAGAAGTTATGTGTACGGTGATAGATGGTAATCAGTCTTTGTGGGGTAAACATGGTATAGTCATTACAAAAATCAAAATATAATGATGTAAACCTGAAATTTATATAATGTTATAAACAATGTTACATTAATTAAATAAAATTAGTGTGTAAATGAAGGGAAACTGAGTTCATTAACACAGCATCTGCCTCTTTCTTGATAGACCAAAAAAATAAAAATAAAAAATCCCTGGAGTCAGCTGAGTAACATTAACATTACCTAGGAGGACAAAAGAGAGAGGAATTGACCCTGGCTGCGGATAAACAACATTGAGCCCCACTATGAGGCAGAGGGTGCTTCCCTCAGAGGGGTCTGATTAAATGGCTCTGTTAGGTCTAAATGTATCAGAAGGTGCTGTGGAGAAGCATGTGGTCAGTCCTTTTATGATTTTAGGAGAGCAGGAAAGTGTCAGAGAATCTGTTCTCTCCCTTGCATTTGCTTTCTGTG